GATACATGACTAACAAGGCAGATTTTTCCCGCAGTAGGTTGCCATTTCTTTCTGCGGTAGACCAGTTCCCATCCAAGGCTATAGAACCCGGTCAGTTCTGTTATTTACCCATAGCTGGGGGGAGAAGAGGAGGATTCATACCTTTCCCAAGGGTATTAGCACGTAAATGAATTTCAGTCAGTTATGTGCCAACCATGATACATCCTTAAGGCGATCATGTATCTTTCGATACATGACTGACGAGGCAGAATTTTTTCCCGCAGTAGGTTGCCATTTCTTTCTGCGGTAGACCGGTTGTCATCCGAAGCTCTAGAATCCAGCTTGTCCTGCTATTTACCCATAGCTGGGGGGCAAAGAAGAAGATTCAAGGGTAATAGCACGTAAGTGAATGTAATGGATTCAACTGGAATTGGAACTCGGCTCTCCGATTCCTCAATCCGAGTCGCTAACCCTTACTCCACCGTGGCACTTAAATATATACTTTGTCTTGACAATAACTTCTGTAATTTTATTTAGGATGTCTGCAATTTTTAACAAGTGTCTTTATCGTCCCAAAGATTATTCAGATTATCAAGCAAAATAAATTTTTTTAAAAGTATAAGAAGCTGAAACGCTCATAGGCTGACTATGAACGAGTGATTCTAGGGCTGTGAAATCTTGCATACATTAATTTCAACTCTTCTTAAAGCTGCATTGTTTCTTTCCAGATATGAGGTTGGGTTGAAAATTTCATAGGCTGACAATGAAGGAGTTATTGCAGAGCTGTGGAATCTTGCATGCATTAATTTCAACTCTTCTTATTAATAACTGCATTGAATCTTTCCAGGTAAAATGACATCTGACTGTTGAAAGAAGACTTCAAAATAACAAGTAGCGACCTCTCTTGAAAATGAACAAACATTTGGCATCACAGTTGATCACCCTCCCTATTCGCTTGAGTTGACCATCAACATGAAAAAAACAGTTGGCTAGGAACAAGTACCGTAGCGATGATGACGTCATACCTGCTGCTGATTTTTTTTTTTTTTACCAACGGGATGAAAGCTTTTTGACCTCGGGGATCCAAGCACTGCAACACCAATGAAAGAATGATTTGGACTGCAAAGAGGATTATGTTGAAAAATTAATACCGTTTTGTCACATTCCGTGAGAGTATCTTGGTTAGCCTATGAACTTTTCAGCTAACCCTCGTACATATTTCATGTCTTTTGGTATGCTATAACAGCTAATTACTTATGGTTTCAGTTTTGAGAGTAGATAAGAGATGTTTGTGACGAAGGACGTAATGTTCACATCCGCTTCTAAAAAATCAAGAAGCAAGGATGTTATAATCATGTTACTATACAACAATTAAAATCTATTTTTACAATATTGCGAAATCGAAAAATGCCATTTTTGCGACTAACAACAAAAAGACTCCGTCTCAGTCCTGCCAGCTCCGTAAAATAGAAAACTAGAAAAAAAAAACCCTAATTAGCAAATTGTTAAACACCATTAGTCAATCAAAAAATTAGAATACCGCTTGTTATTTTATTGTTTTCTCTACTCAATAAGGTTTCCTCAGTTACTTCCGCATTTAGTAATCCTTTGAGTTTTAGTTGCTTAGGGTTAAAATGATTTTTTTTTTAAAAGTAGACTTAACACATAATACCGTTGCCTCTAACAACACTGAATACTTCATCATCCAATCAAACTGACTCTCAGTTCTACTCGGTCCGAAAAAAGAACGCTGGAAAATTCCTTAATCATCAAAATGTTAAACACATTCAATTCCAAGAGCCAGTCAAACTCTTTCTCATTCCAACTAAATCTGAAAAAATACAACGCTGGAAAACACCTTAATCACCAAACTGCTAAACACACTAAATTCCATAAGCCAATCAAAAAAGGATAATACTGTTTGAATCGAAGGAAATAATAAAACTAACTCAGACATCAAATCTGCTCTATTCTTCTTTGTCTGTATGTCGTGTACCTTCAGGACATAGGCAATCATGGCTCTCCACAATTTCTTATACTTTGTAGCTCTTAAGAAAGTTAGTCGATTTGCCACCTCTCCTAATCCCTGTTCTACTAAACATTACGTACGTTTGTTGGGTAGATTATGTTTTCCTTCGCCCCTCAATGTGGTGCCAGACTTTCTAAGCCCTCTTAATGCGCCCTAGAAATTTCAATTGTCGCTTTCTGATGTTTACTATAAGTGTCCTTTTCATTTTCTCTAAAACTTCCTCATTGTTCACATGTCCAGTCCATGCTATTCTGTAGAACCACATTTCTCTTGCTTCAAGTCCTTTTTCATTCACTGCCACTTCGGAGGGTTGATATTACATAACAGTTCAGTACGCTTTTCTTTGTTTCTAGCGAATTTTTACCGTCCCAGGGTGCGATTGATAAATTGTCGTCTCAATTACGCAAAAATGAAAATAACGCCAACATTTCATTTTAACATAGATATTTACCAAAACTGCACAAAAATACGAAATAGTAAATTGAAATACTAAAGAGTAAATGTATTCATTAAAATCGCCATTGATTTCAATCTCTGCCTCTAAACGACGAAGGAATCTCCTGCAACTCTTGTAGATGTTCTCTTTTTTAAGTTGGTAAATGCTGCCATAATCCTTGCCTTCAGTTCATCTCTGGTGTTACAAGGAGTTTTGTTGGTCCGTCGTTCAACTAAGACTCACATATAATAATCAAGGGGGTTGCAATCTGGGGAGTTAAGTGGCCAGATGTAAGTGGTGATGCGGTCGCAGAAATTGTCTGACAGCCACGACTGGGTTCTCCTGCTTGTGTGGCATGGTGCAGAGTCCTGTTGTCAAATATAGCTTCTTCCAGCCGCCACCTTCTTGATCCAGAGCAGCACTAACTCCTCAAGGCAACGTGTTGAGTCTGAGGCCCTGTGGAAAGATGAATGGAGGCCTAACATCGCCATCCCTAGTGATCACTCCAAACACCTTCGTAATCATTATTAGACTCATCCAGCTCTTTCCGAATCTTCTGCATTGACACTGAAACACTTTAAAATGTTTTTATTGAAGACTAGCAGTAGAGACCGGCGTTGTTCGGGGATGTAACAGTAAAAGAGATAGATCAAGTATCGACCATCATAAAGACTGAAAAATAAAATTGACGAAGATTATTGTTTAAGATTGACAGACACGCATGTCTTAATTAGTTTTTTTGTTTTGTTTTTTTTTACGAATTGGTCAAACCCAAACTCAAACAAAAACATTGTTTTCAATCGTTATGAGTCTAGCGATTGAATAGAATTTTATTATAAAAAATTTTCTTGTAAATGGAATTTTTAAAGCATTCTGAATGTAAAAATAAAGAAAAAAAGTGTGCAAGACAATAAGAAACATTACCTGCCAAAAAATGTGAAGTTTTGTTGAAATCGGTTGGAAAATGTAGGAAATCCGATCCCATATATAAACGAACATACACACACACAAACACACACACAACCTGGGTTTTAAGTATAACTCGATATGAGTTGTCCCCCAGTCATTCTCGAGATGCCTCTTAATCGTGTTTTCAAATTGATTTCGTGCAAAAACAATTGTGTTTTACCAATTTTTGGCGCTGTGAGAACCTCCGCAATGTAATTTTACGTAGTCCTGTGAAGTTTTGTTGAAATCGGTTGAAAAATGTAGGAAATCCGATCCAATATATAAACGTACAGACACACACACACACACACACACACACACACACACACACACACACACACACACACACACAACCTGGGTTTTATAAATATGATTATGGCGCGAATGCCAAGCAGTACAGCATGCCGTTTCCAAATTTCTGGCGGAGTGAATTTGTTCATAGTGCTCTTTTTTCTCACAGACGTTTCCCAACTGACCCTACTATACTGCGCAGTCGACAAAATCAAAAACAATCAACGCGCATGCTCGAAATTAAAAATATAAAATGGCGACAATTTACCCATTGCACCCTGTACTTTTCTTAGCACTTGAAATGCGTTTTACCCCAATCCCAGTGCGCCATTGGATTTCGATTTCGCACTTTCTGTCCCCTGCTAAAACACTTTCTAGATATTTAATTTTGTAATTCCCACGTTGGGCTTTTTCCTTTGCTACTTGACAGATATACCAAGATTACATACAGCAACCAGAAGCCCCAAATAATAAATAAAAAAAACTAAACCTGAAATAAAAATTTCATCTTAATAAAAACCAACACTAGGAGACTGGAAAGCAAAATACATGAAGATTCAAAGTCACCCTGCCTCGATTACATATTGGCCATACACGTTCAATACAGTCTTTCACTCTGAAGATGGCCGGAGTGTACAACGGCCGAAACGTTGTGATAAATATGGCGACAAAGATGAGAACAACAGTCTATGATAATGTAAATAGTGAAAAATGCAAATCAATCAATGAATCAATTACGACCGTGTAATAACGCCACAAAGTAACCATCTACCTTGATTGGCTCTTGAGACTTATATTAAGTGAACGTTTGTCTCTTTGTCTGTGTGAAGTGCATTCAGACATCACTTCCTTTTCTTTCTCCCAATTTTGATGCTACACCCACTAACACTCAGCGAAGAGAAACTCAATGAAAATTTGTCAAAATTATAATGCCCTGGGGACCCAATATTACAAGGGAAGGGGTATGAGAATGGAATCGATCTAATTGGATGATTTAATAAAAAAAAAATGTTCCGATTTATTTACAGATTTGCTAATGACGAACCATTAGCAGCGTCTGATTCTATTCGTGGGTGTTGAACGCCTGGTCAGAAGACATTTTTTTCCGAGTTCCGTCATGACCTTAGACATCATTATCATTGTGGAAGAGTGAATTTTCTGACTGCATAAAGCGTCATTACCTCCACCTACCCATGAATCAAGAATAGGTTATCCTCAAAATGGTTAGTCTATTGACTTGACTTGACAGTTAAAAAGTGATGAATCATCGTATCCTGCACTTTCAAAGTAATAAAAATTGATTCCCAATAATATTAC